GCTGGCAGGGAGCGGGAGCTGCCCCCAGCCAGCCCCTGCCCCAAGTGGGGCGGGAAGCACCCCCACAAAAACGCAGCCAAACTGTCCTGCTTGGGTTCCTGGCAGATCTGGAGGGGAAAGGCAAGCCCGGACCGTGGACAGGGAGGGGGGGAAGCAGGAAATGCCCCCCCAGCCCCTGCAGGCTCCCAACACGCTCTCCAGCCGGGCGCAGCTGCAGCCGACAGCTGGGTCCCACCACCCAGACGCTCACGCCGCTGCCTGCGGGTTTTTCCATGCCAAGGAGGGCAGAGGGCCAGAGCCCCTCGGCCACATTCCTCCGGCCGCGGCCCCCGCGGCCCTGGCAGAGCCGGGGCTGGCCGGGCAGAACCCGTCCCCGTGTCTTTTGTCGTCCCCCCCCAGCGTTCTGCAATCAGGCAGAGGGACCGGGGGAAGGAAGAGCTGAGGCTGCAGGATCGAACGCCAGCTGCCCGCTCGGGTGCTGCCGTGCCGGGGCCGTGGGCACGGCTCCCTGGAAAGCGGGGGCAGCCGCCGAGCGCGCCTGGCGGAAGGAAGCGCAGCGAGCCCTTCCAGGAAGACCCCGTGCCGCTCGGCCGGGGCGAAAAGCGTCACCTCCTGCCTGGCAGCCGCTTCCCCAAAGGCACCTGGGCGGGTTGGGGGCAGCAGCACCCCGGCCCCCCCCCTCGCCGCCCCCAGAGGAAGTCTGCGCAGCTCTCCCTGCGCTGCCGGAGGATGCGTGACGCAGGCAGAGCCGAGCAAAGCATGAATGAGAGGAGTGGTTTCCTGCCCCCCCCACACCCCTCCGCCCCCCAGGTGCTGGCGGTTCCTCCTGCACAGCCCCGGCTTCCTGAATCACCGACCCGGGGAGGAACCTGCAGCGGGCAGGGAGGCACGGAGCCGCTTCCCGCAGCCAGCGTTGCCTGCCCGCCGCGGCACGCCCGGGCTGCCGGGCCCCCTGCCCGCCTGGCAGAGCCTGGAGGGGGAAAACCAGGCGGCACAGTTGCAGCCGCCAGCCCCCAGTGGGCCACCAGACCGTAGCCCACACTCCTCTCCTCCACCTCTGCCGTGCTTGGCTGGGAAGGACCACGGCCGCCTGCCCGATGGGAGCCGTGCTGGGTATTACAGGCCCCCTCAGATGCAGGGGGTACCCCAAGCCCCCCTGCTCCGGGCAGCTCCGTGGGTTCCCTGGCCCTGCTGCTCCCCAGTACATCCCACCTCGCCGCCCACCCCGGTGGGGAGCTGCACAACCCCACCAGAAAGGGCGCAGCCCTGAGGCCAGGATGTGTACCAGGACCCCCCAGGTTGGGCTGCCAGAACCAGCCCCCTCCCACAGCTTTGCAGCCCAGCTGGGATGGGCAGCACCCTGGGAGCAAACCAGGCTCCACGGGGACCCTGGCAGGGGAAGGCAGCGGCAGGAGCCAGCCTCTGGCACAGGACTCCTGCTCCAAGCTCACCCCCTTGGCCCACACAGGGTTAAACCAGCTGCTGAAAGTCAAGGTCACCCCGGGCAGCCAAGGGCACCGCGGGTCAGCAAAGGTCCCCACTCACAGGGCAGCCCTGGCCCTTGCCACATCCCCATGGGGGGCATGGCCGTGCCCCCGCTGAGCCCCCCTGGCCAGCGCCAGGCGAGCTGCAGAACAGCACAGGGCTCAGCCCCCTTCTCCAAATTCAGGGAGGCAGGTTAAAAAAAAAAAAAAGCCGAAGAAAAAAAACCCCCACCCTTTAAAAAAAATAAGCTGCAGCATTGGCCAGAAAGGAAGGAAAGAGTTTAACAGCAATAATAAAGAGACTGAAAACAAAGAAGCCAGGGCCTGCGCGGCTGGGGGTAAATTCCACCTTCGCGGCAGGCAGCCGGCGGCTGCGCGCGCACCGCGGCAGCTCACCCAGCCCTGGGAACGCTTCCTCCCAGCGCGCCGCAGGCGGAGGACCCCCCCGCCCATGACACCTCCCGCGCTGGAGGCCGCCCCACCAGCCACCAAGAAACTTCACAGTTATTCTAAACACAGCCCCCACCAGCGCCACCCCCCATGCCCCCTCCTCAGCACCCGGCGCCCCAGCCCAAGGCCACCAAGCAGGCACACGGAGAGTGCCAGAACACCCAGGCATGGCCAATTCCCCCCCCACCCCCCTCAAGGACGGCTCCAAGGAAAGGGGGAAGAGTCCTCCGGGCACTGGGAGGAGAAGCCGGGCTCTGCAGCCCCACAAGCCCCCAGCGTGGCCCAGTGGCCCCACGAGCCCTCGGCACAGCCCTGCCGGCCCCCCTCAACGCACGCCACCGGCCGAGGGGGAGGCAGGCAGCCCTGCCTCCATACCACGGGGTGGGCGGCTGCGGTGGGGGGGGCTGCAGCCCTGCACCCCCCGGGCAGGGCCCTGGGCCGCCCGGCTCCGCCGCCGACCTGCTGCATGACCTTGAGTGAGTCACTTCACCTCCCAGCGCCTCTGCCCTCCCCGGCTCCCGGCTTGTTTGGGCTGCGAGCGCTGCAGCGTGGGACCTCCCTGCGCTCGGTGCTGCACAGGATGACGGTGCCCGCCCCGGGCACCACCCTCAGCGCTCCCAACCCCTTCTGAAGGTGAAACCTTAACGAGGCACTAAACACCAAAGTCTTTTGGGAGGGGAAGAAGAGCCGGGTCGCAGCAGTCCCTTCCCCCCCACCCCCCCCCACCCCACAGAGCCTCCTTTGTCTCTATCGGTGCCCCGGCATCAAGCCTCTCACCTGAGTTTCAGTTAAGCTTTCCAGAGCTTGCATCACCGACTGTTCTGGCCTGGATGCCTGGGACTGGGGAAAAAAAAAAAAGAAAAAGGAAAAAAAAGGAGGAGGGGGGGGATTAACATTACAAATGCAGAGAAGGAGGGGGCGTCTGTGCGGCAGGAGGGGAGGGATGACATGTCACTTCCACTATTTCTACACAAGCCCTGAGAAAGCAGTGAAATATTAAACCTGCTGCCGTGCCCAGCCCAGCGCTGCCTCCTCAGCGAGGGCCGGGGCAGCGGAGCCGCAGGGCTGCCAGCACATCCTCGCCCGGGGCTTTAATAATAGATGGGGACGAGTGGGAGGGAGGGAGCAGCAGAAAAAGGCCGCTTACCATCAAGCCGGCCTCCACGGTGGGCACCAGCGTCAGCTTGCTTCCTTCCACGACCCCCAGGTCCTGCAGTTTTCCAGAACTGAGTCGACTGTGGGGGGAGAGGAGACATGCCAAAAGCGAGGTCAGCGCAGCCTCGGCAGGCCCCGGCCACACGCACCGACGGAGGGGGGGACGCGTGAGAGGGGGGATACCAGCTGCACGCCTGGCTGCTCCCAGGGGCCCGAGCCCCCTCAAGCACCCCCACCCCAAGTGTTTCCAACACCTGACAGGCAGGAGGGGGACCCACCATCCTGCTGCTCAGTTGCCTCTTCCCCATCTGCCCCCTGCACGCCGGGGGGGGCCGCACAGGGTGCCGGGGTACCCCCGCTCTGCGCACGGTGCAAATGGGGCCATGGGGTGCTGCAGCCATCGGTCACACCGGGGCGAGGGAGCCAGCGAGGAGCCAGTCAGGGGCTGGGGGTCGTGGGGCTTCGTGGCACAGGAAACCTGCCCACGGGGAGGGTGTGTGGGAGAAAAGCTGGGACCAGTGTGGGGCGGGGAAGGCGGCGCGGGGGGACGTGTGTCCCCCCCGACCCATAGGTGCCGGCAGATGTACACGGTGTCCCATTGCCCCCCCCCCACGGGCGAGACTCTCCAAGTTCCTGCAGGCCGGGGCCGAGCCCAGCACAGGGCAGCCCGGCCCCGCTCGGAGGTGGTGGGGGCACAGCCCCCCCCCCCCGGGCCGGGCCTTTGGCAG